GTCCCCTGGAAGTCGGCGGTATTGGGATGAGTAGAGTCCCAATATTTGCAGTCTTTCGGATTATCTTGTTATATAGACTTTTTACCAATTTCGTTGCCAGCCTTTGCGGACGTTCTAGAGCCTTCCTGTCGTAGTTTAACCATGGATTCCATACTTGAACGGCGTACTCCGTGTGTGACCGAACGAACGCTGATAACAAGCGTGGGTACAGTGCTCTTTCGAACTGCCAGAAAATACGTCTGAGTAGTCCAACTTGCTTTAGAGCCGTAGATGATGCTCCGGCACAGTGTGTGGAACATCCTACGTCCTCCTGTACCATAACCCGAATATTTCTAGCGTAAGCTCCCATAGTAGAAAGACTGACATAGTGACTTTCAAAATGTTTATTTTCAGAAAATAAAGCCAATCATAGTTTTCGATCTCTCTATCTTGTTTATTCTATATGTTTTTCATTCTTTCTGCCTGTAACAGCTTATACCACTCGTGTCGGTTCTGGTGTTTTTCCAACCGAATTGCACGACGAGATTGGAGCTCGGTTACAGGAAATCGGGCAAGAGTTTGGGGTAACAACGAAACGAAAGCGACGAGTCGGATGGCTCGATACCGTAATTGTGCGGTACGCACACATGGTCAATCATTTTACAGCATTAGCGCTGACCAAATTGGATGTGTTGGATGAATTGAAAGAAGTGAGTTCGTGAACCGAGATAAATCATAAACTCTTCATTGCTTTGTTCAAAACGGAATCCTAGCGACCGACTCTCTGTAATTTTTTCTTACCTTGGTCTTCTTCATGCAAACACTCAAGGCTGATAAAATGTTACTTCAACTGGCTTCAATTGCCGTGGAAATTTGCAAACCATATGCCTCAAACCTATCCGAGTAACATGTGTAACTGTTGTGTCCGGATCTCGTTTGATCACAATGTACACACAACAAGATATCACACGAGGAACACATGTACCTCAACGGCCGCACTAATCGTCTAGCCTCACGCGTACGATCACAGCGCAGATTGGACGCCACGAGCACTAGTAGCCTTCTCCCAGCTACGTAAGCAAGAACACAGTTAGTGCATAGCGAACGTGTACTTGACACACAGGAAGCAAGTCAATTTACAAGTTTAATTCTGATGCTTATATGTGACTCAAAATAGCATCGATTAATGCAAGAAAAAGATTATGCCAATCAAGTACACAGTTAGCAAAGTTCAATCGATCACGGATCAGACGGACGGAGTGAATGTCTCCGTATGACGCGATATGATGATTGATTATTCTCCGCGAGATTGGTATTGATTCGAGATGTTCCGAATTGCAGATACTCGAAAAATAGTCAGTTTTAGGTAAAAAAAAATAGTCTTTTTACCTAACAGTAACTGGTTGTGGTTCCTCAGATTACGCCCATTGTTAGATGTGAACAAATCACAAATCATATACAGTGTACAAAAAAATAAGGAACGACTTAAGAACCGTATTTAACAAGTGACCACATTCTAATGCCTATCAGTAGCTAATCCTAATCAAGTTTATCTTTGTCATGCACAAGTAAAAGTTTTGCATGTAGCCTGTGGGCTCACTTTCAGCCAGTAAAATTTACCGTAAAAAAAGAAAGATAAAAAACTCATTGAATCTACTCACATATATTTTAATGCGATGGAAAAGGAGTGAAACCAGGCCATGATACATGAATGTTCTTGTGGAATCCACAACCGGAGCCTTCAGCCAACCAAAGCCTGGCCCGCAAGGCAGCGGGGTGTTTTGTGTGAAAACTGCAATCCATTGGGGGCTGGTTTCCGGTTCATCGGATTATTCGCCCTTTGGACGAGGTCAAACGTCCAAAGTGCTGAATACACCTCAATTCCCAATCGAGCCAGTGATCACTGCCACAACCAGGAAGTTGTGTGTATGGTTCGTAAGCCTCTTGTTTGGTTTGGAATCATGGTTTTAATCAACTCCCCTAGGTGAATTACCAGTGGTTCACCAACCCGGTTATAGCCCCCCAGATGTCGGCTTTTCGTTCTCTCACTTTGGTGGGGAAAAAGCTTCGGCCCCGAGAAGGCAGTGACTTAGACTTCCTCAATAAAGACTATTCGAGACACTCGGTCGTATGGGAGTATTTCGCGAGATGCAAGGGAAGGGTGATCAGCCACAACCCCAGACATCCACCCCCGACCATACACTGCGGCTTTTGGAGGTATCAAGCTACTCAAGGAATAAATTAACATCTAATTGATTCCTCAGATGTCTACACAGAGTTGATCTAAGTTTGTACTAGAACATCCGGAACGTAAAGAACAATGGTCAGCCGGTCATGTCTATATATTATATATATTTACCACCGGCTTCAAAACAAGCATGGTGCCAACGCAACAACAATGACAGTGAAAGGGGGTAGGTGGATTAAGATACAGAACATGGTGAAAAGTGGGTGAGACAGTTAAACATGGGAAAATACAAGATAACAGAATTTTTTGTGTTTCACCGTACACCTTTTGCAATTTTTTGGCGTTGTTTGATGTTTCGTTTTTCTTAAGGGGCACGGGATTCGACAGGCAGACCGTACAGCATTCGCGCCACTGACTTCTATTCTGGGCCACATCTCTCAGCGTCTCTGACCAGCGACAATCCTCAACCCTCGGGCCCCAAACTGGAAGGCGGGTTGCACTAACCGAAGCCAGAGCTGAAGCCAGCTTCTTCATGCCTCTAGCCCATGTCATGGTCTGACCGCTGCGTCGCTTCTTCCAGCCTTACC